CCAGGGAGTAAGGGAGGGAGTGTGAGCAAGTGCTACTCCTAAGTATCTTCTCCAGTCCTTTTCTTATTCTCAACTACTGTTTCTGCTCAGTCCTGGAAGTCTTGGCCTTGTCACATTAAATAAACTGTTTGAGTAACTCTTTGGTTCATGTATTGTAATTGGTTTTTAGTTACTTGTGATGATTAATGAAACAAGGTATTTATTTAATATGAAAGTCAACACATGGTGATACCAGCTGAAATACTGGAAAGTCCCCGAGTAATCCTACTGCAATTTTTTTTCCTTAAAAGTGCAACTACTGCAATTAAACCATCAAAATGTTGCTGCATGTTGAGTAGCATGAACATCCTGATCATGCTTCAGGCAGCATCCTGTCCGTTTTCTTTCTTCTCTTCTTTTTTGTTTTCTTCCCAATGCGACTTCCCTTTCCGGAGATGACTTCATTTCCTATGCAGTTACTACATACACAGGGAAACCCCAGGAATATACAAAGGCAGATATTTTCCATCAAACCCGATCAGTAAATGGCTTTTGATTGTATTGTGAATCGGCCAAAGGGCACAGAAAGGAAGGACTGCAATTTTGGATTCCTTCATGCTGCTGAAAACTGTGAATAAAGTTCTGAGTCAACCATAAATGTTCTGCTTGAGGCTCAGGGACTTTGCTGAAGCAGAACAGCTAGCAAGATGAACAAAGGGAAATTAAGCTGGCTAACAGAAAAATCAGGAGAGAAAGAAGCGACAGCGATAGTTTTAGATGTGTTATATAATTACGTTTTGCTAAGCACTTGCTTGTGCTGCAGGGAGATCCACGTGCCAGGTCCTCTCGACACAGAACTCGAAGGTGCTTCTCCTGCCTCTAAACCAGAGATTTCATCAGCATTGTAGGTGGAAAAAAATATTCACCAGCATAGGTGTTGTAACTGTACCTCTCTGCAGCAAGAACCACAGGCCGCACGGAAAATACAGGAATAGGGATCATCATCTTCTGCACTATGAGGAAGTAGCACTGTGGTACAGCAGAGCTCTGGCTGTCATCCTTGTTCTCAGAAGACTTTGTGCAACCTTATGACTAATTAATACTCCTTTGTGAGGGCACTCGCACAGTGACCTTTGTAACACCGGCCCAGTAGGTGCTGATTCAGAAAATACAATTCACTCCATGACCAGCACTTCTAGAAGCAAATGAATGCAATTTCCATTCTCGTTAATGGTGGTAAATATCAAGCATAAACAGCTTCAGGAAGAGGGGCAGAGACAACCACATGAATTTCAGCGAGCCTTTCCTGAGAGGAAGGGCTCATCAAAATGAGTTAGGCTTTCAGAATTGCATATTAACTAAGCAAAAGAGAAAAAGAATAGTTTTGTAGAGGGCTGACCCAGACCAGGAATATAAGTACTAAACACGTATCTCAAGGTTGTATTTCTATTTACAGCCGTTTGTTCCATATCTTTCATATAAAAGTCATTCAGTGTGACAGTTGGCAAACTTAAGATCTTTGGGTTTTTGTTGCTATCTAATTAAGAAATAGTTAGGGGGAAAAGACAGATACTTACGGTATTTGTAAGTGTAAGTAAGTTCTCTGTTTGGCCCTCTCAAGTCAGTCAAGTTGCCTCAGGTAAGGTTCACGGTAGAGACTGTCTCACCGCCAAAATACAGATGACACTACAGACCCAGACTGCCAAAGACACAAAGAAGTTGAGACATTTTCCCTTTGCAAATCAAAAGTATGCATAGATTTTGGGTACAGGGTCACAGAAGTATACGAAAATAAGAGGAAGAACTTGCCTGAAGGAAATCTAAAAACTCAGGCAGGACTACCCTTTCCGGCTGAACCTAATATTCTTTAAAAATCACCACAACAGTCACTGACTCAGCTGCTCAGCTATTTCTAAATGATCTTTTGCATGTTTGGATCTAAAATTCCAGGCATGAGGCAGGATTTCTAAAGTTACCATTGAGCAATCATTGAGGGAGATGAGGACAGAGCAGTGCAAGGGGCTCCCCAGGGGAAAGAAATCCCCCACTGCTCATGGGAGCATAAGGAAATGTAAAGTTCCAGGTCACTCACAAGTCAGGGAAAGTTGGGGAGAAACGTACAGAAAATGACCTGAGAAACTCCAATTTTTTCACTCGGGAATCTCAAGCTATCTCTTGCCCTTTGCTATACCATAGCATAACTGATACAGAAGCCTTGATCAGGGGAATTAGTAGATTTTATGCCTGCGCTAGCATCTACACATTGATTTGAACTCATTTAGCACGTACCAGTTTGCCGTGTGATTTGGACAGGGACTTCTGTACCACACATCAATGTCAAAAGTTGGGTGCAGGATAGTCTGCATTCCTGTGTGTCATATATTGCTGATAAGCCCAGCACTTCTCAGAAATCTGATCACTTGATAGGTGTTAAGGCACTCTTATGCCAAGAAAATGGAAGCTTCTCAATAACTATATTTATGACCCTTATGACAAAAAAGTGTTTATTCAGCTGAAGGCTACCAGATATTGTTTACGATACTCATGTTTAAGGCTTAGGAATTATTCTCTTCAGTCAGAGACTGCATGCATTAGAAAGAAATTCAGCAGCTTTTAATTCACCTGCCTCACATCTCCAAAACTAGGTCCTCGTAAATAAATTGAAACAGCAGCTTTCGCCCAAATCACAAGAGTTTACAATAAAACATGTGATCTCTTCATTTATGGTTCATCTTTTCTGACTTCTCTCTGTAACCACAAAAGGAATTTTATCTTTGTTGAGTGTGGGTTTTCTGCAGGCCAAGTCTTCCGCTCACTACCTCTTAAATTACAAGTCAAAACATGGGCTCCAGAACTCTACTCAGTTGTTCCCATCACTCCGTATCAAGATTTGTTATACTGTAATCATTATGTCATATATGATAGATGTAAGACACCTAAGCCCTTTCTTTATATTTGAGTAGTAATGTACAAGAGCCACAAACATCTCATTTTGTGAATAAGAAGAAAGCAGAAATAAACACTTCCTTAAAACACAACAGGCAGTAGGTTTTACGCAAAGAAGACAAAGAATAACACCTTCATTGCATATACAGTGTATATATACATATACAGAAGCAATAATTTTATCTTTGAGTTAATGAAAATCATTAATGAAATTAAAGACAAAGAACAGTTTCTTGGGTTTATCTGGAAAAGAGTTCTACACTCCTCAGGCAGTGCAATTTATGCTTCCATTTTCTCCTTGTATGCAGGTCAGAGGACATTTCCATGGATACTCTAATTTGCATTTCCGTAAAGAGTTTCATGTGCATGGAAATAGTGTGTTAGGGGGAAATAAAAAGTCCAGAGATAGGAATGAACAACCCAGTCTATGCTGCTATCAGGCAACAGGACAACATTTTGTAAAAAGAGATCACCTGGAGATGTGATAAAGGTCTACAGAATTATGAAGGAGATGGAAATCGGGGATAAGGATCAATATCTAACTCTTGTTTTGCCATAAAAGAATCAGGAGGCATCAAATGAAACCAGGCTCAGAGTGGGATAAGTCTGAAACACACTCGATCTTCTCTTACACATTCCTAGACATCTGCTGATGGCCATGATTGAAGAGAGGATACTCACTAGGCAGACCTCTGGTTTGACACATAAGGGCTGTAATTAAGTGCTTATGTGCTCACGTTAGCTAATCCAGCCATGCTCACTGCAAGCTGAAAACGTACAGGAAAAACAGGTGCTTAATTCCATATCTACACATCTTATTAGGCTACTGTTCAGAACACATCCTCTAAGGCTATTTATAAACCTAATTGTGTAAATTGTGTAAAATTACAGACACTGATATATACGGTAATATTAAGTGAATTTCAGTCTGCAATACATAAATCTCTGTGTCCTTCACGATGAGCCAGAGACCACTAAACCTATATTCATTCCTATCTGGTCCTATGCTTTGTTCCTTTGACTGTCTCCATTACCTGGCAGAAGAACAATAACGGGATTCCTTAATGTTTAACCCCCAAAAAGCCCACTTGTGTCTTAGTATTATTTTCTATTGTTAATAAAAATGGTTGTGCGTCTCTGACTTTATCTGAATAATGCCCCTTCATGATCCCATCTTCACTTTTCCTTTAATTTTATCATAATCAGAAGAAATCTTCTCTTTACAGGGTCAGATTTAAATTTGCAAAAGTGCCTCAATTTATTTCAGAAGTAGAATCCTGCAGCGGCTTTTAGAATTTTCCTCTGCCCAAATTCAAAGCAGCAAACAGTTAAGAAGTTTTGGCTTCAGAAGAAGCAGTCATCCTCAAAAAAAATCCACCTGATTAGGCAAAGCAATTCATATCACAATAATATATTCCGTATGTTCTCAATAGTACAACAAAGTCAGCCTGGATTCAGTTGCTTATTTCAGTGATGCTAGGTTTTAATGTATCAACAAGTACCGTAAGTATTTCTGCAGAAGTCATCTCAGCATATAAAGAAAGATTTTTTAAAATGTAATTGCATATAAGGACAAGGGGAGCTTATTAAAATCCAGTTCTAGTACCTATCATTTCTACAAAGTATTAGCTCCTACTTCTGTCACGTCTTAAAATGAAAAAAAAATCAAAGCCCAAAGACACACAGATGGAAAATCACAGATCAAATGCCTTCCACCAGAAGTGGAAATTTACAAAGAGTAACATAATAATCACAGCAAAAGTACAAAGGTACAGAAGAAAATAATCACAAGAAATAGAGTATTAGAAAACCCCTACAGATTCCACAAAGCTAAGTACAGGGTAATTCTGTGCATATTCTATGTTTTTATATTTCTTTAATTAATAAAGTGTTTTCTGTTAATGAAAAGCAATTTCGTGGTCATCTAGGGAAAGGGGCTTACCCACTCACCCGTGACTCATTTCACAGTAGCATCTTACAGGTTTGGAGTTTCCCCTGGTATGACCCACCCATGACGCTGGAGTGCACAGGGGAGGCCACGGCACCATATAAACGCGGCAGGTCCCAGAGCACAGGCACTTGGGGCTACGGGAGCTCACCTCACCACAGAACCAGACCCAGGCGACACAAGGAAGAAACACTCTTGCATCATGATGGGCAAGGCTGTGGCTGCTGTCCTGACTCTTCTCCTGATCTCCGCAGTTGGAACAAAAGGTAAAGAAACCCTTCCAAAAGCTCTCCTAACTAATTGCTAGTGTAAATGCTGACGGGGGAGGTACTATGATGTATTACAAGTGTAGCAAATAACTATTCTAATACCATAAGCAAAAAGAACATGTTGTGCTTCCTGTGGAAACAGTGAAACAGTCCACCTTTTTTTTTTTCTTCTGGTTTTACAGGTAAGGCCCTGCCACGCTCAGCGATTGAACTCCGGTGCCAGTGTGTAGGCACCCATTCCAAGTTCATCCATCCCAAGTTCATTCATAACGTGAACCTCATCCCTAGTGGGCCTCATTGCAAGAACGTTGAAGTCATGTAAGTGCTTTTGCAAAATCCTCCTGATTACTTAACAAGAAGGAAACAGATTTTACATTGAGGATGATGTAAGTGTTCTCTGAAAGATGTAACAAGCCAGCAGGCGTGGATACTCGAACGCTCGTTGCTCTTACAAACAATATGCTACGTGTTATAAGTCGCAGCAACCAAAAAGTTGCTTTTGCCAATCTCTACTTTCAAACACACCATGCGATATTTCAACCTAAACTCGCAGTCATCAGACAGCAAATAACTTTCTAAAGCTCTGAATTCCACCAGCATGTGAGAAGAGAATTAAATTCACAGAGCCATGCTGAGCAAGTGATCAAAACATGAATCTTAACGGCTAGGTCGAAAATATGATCACGCTTCTACTTAAGTCAATGAAAAAACTACCATTAGCATACAGTCATACAATCCGGTCACAATTCCAGAACTCTTACTGTAACAATATTCCTATGGACTGGGCACTACAGTTTCTGAATCAAGACGGAAAGATTTAGCCCTTCAGTCAAACACCATCACAAATACAAAGCAAGCTGGGGTAAAAAAAGAAGCAATTTTGAAAAGCGTGAGTCCTGCAAATGATTTAATGCATTCAAACAAACAGATATGAGAAGATAGGAAACCATTTAAAAAAAAAAAAAAAAAACTTTATGTTGGGCTACAGCCTCAACGGATGCAGCTTAAAGTAAAGGAGAACATGTAAGCGTACACCTAGAATGATGTTACGAGAGAAAAGGGAAGTTGCCTTGGAATTCACTAAGTAGACCTTTTCCCTTCCTTTTTTCTCTGTTGCAGAGCTACCCTGACAGACGGCAGAGAAGTGTGCCTGGAGCCCACTGCTCCCTGGGTGAAGCTGATCATCAAGGCAATTCTGGACAAGTGAGTCATTTGTTCTCAGTGAGCATGGCTTATCAAAAAAATGTATTTTAAGTGAGCTAGCAAACATGTACAGCGTAAAGCATTCAAAAATTCTGTCTCCTCACACAGTTACTACCGTCTGTGTTCACTAACCGGGACAAACACTGTGATTGCTTTGAGCTTTAATTATAATATTAGGTTCAATCCCTTATTGTGCCACACACCCCATGTGAATGTTAGCTACACCTCTCTTACACTTGTGTAAGGCACAAGCGTATCGAAAACCTGCAGCTCAAGTGCTCAGGAAATCCAGGCATTAATCAACTGGTTTTCTCTTGCTTGCAATGGTACAAAGCAACAATCAGTTTTTCAAAAATAATGGTATTTAGATAAGCGGAGGAAAAATCAGAGGTGTCAAATGAAGCACTGAACTAGGGAAGCCCACAGTTACTGAGCACTTGTGAAAATGTCACAATGTACCAGTGTCCCTTAGGTTCAGTAACAGCTTTTAAGGCGCTTGGACACAGGAGCACAAACCCTTAGTGGCAGATTTCATTTGATCCCATCGAGTGATACCTGTTCCATGGACAAGTTCTAATTGTCTCCTTTTCCATTTTCCTTTTTTCTAGGGCAAACGCCAAACCTGAGACAGTGTCCTAAGACGAAGAAGAAAAATGTCCTAACTCTTCCAGGAAGGCAAAAATGGGAGAGACGCTCATGCAGCTCCTGGCAGCTCACCTCCGCCTGCCTCCTACATTCACACTTCTAACAGCGTCTAGAGAGCATGGATTCCCTGTTCCTGTAGTTAGCTGACAATAGTACTTTAAGTCTTTTAAAGAGGTCTCATTACGTAGGAGAGAAACCACTGACACCAGAAAAAGCTGGCAGAAAAAATGGCTTGTGAAAGGAGATGGAGACGATTCTGGAGTCATTTTTGCTAAACACAGCTGGATCAGTACAGTGCACTCTCAGCAGAGCTTTCGCTAAATGACACCTTCCCTTTTTGCTAACAGTTTAGGAAAAGACCAGCAACTCCTTCTCTCCAGGAAAGCACGGATAGGTAGGATCAACTGTGCCTAGGTCACTGCCACTCAGAGTGGGCTACTGACCGGAAGAAGGGAGCTTGCAAAATTAGGGAGCCGTTAGGGAGACATCAGGTTTTGTGCCATCATTTTCAAGATCTTATTTATTGTGAATTAGTGTTGTGAAGGTATAAACATATATTTTAATGCCATCTTTTGGTTAGAAAAAAGCACTTTATTTATTTATATTTATATTTTTTATTTGTTTACTTTTGCATAAGAATGTAGTTGGTCTTCAATATTTATTTATTTATTTATTTATTTATTGAAAATGTTTATGTACCTAATAAATGCTTGTTGAAATGTTTTCACTTCAATATTGTGTGTTATTAATTTCCTTATTGAAATACAGAACTGAAAAAGAGGATGCATTTTCTTTCATTTTGTATCACATAATGGGTTCTCAGAAGGGCAAATGGTGGCCGAGTTGTTTGGGGGCAGCTAATTACAACAGCAAATTCTTGCCTCTGGTGAGTGCAGATGGTTTCCAATAGGAGGAATTATAAAAATTATCTACTTTCTTCCTCTTTTCTTGCCAGACTCAGTGTTTTCAGAGGTCTGAGTGATAAAATTCATGGAGAGAAAGTAATAAACAAATAATGGTTAGTCACAGAAATTCCAAGGCCATAGCAGTGGTGGTGCTCAGACAGCACGTCAGCTGAGAATCTGGCACTGAAAAAGGTTTTTCATTAACTTAAATAAGCAGGGAAACCTGATAAACATTAAGGAAGTCACTGAGCATCCTCCCTAATTCCAGTGGGGAGGGAGGACTACATCAGGAGAAATCCTAATAAATAGAGCTCCGATTGCACGGCCACACATCTGCCTGTGACACAGCGATTTACAGAGAAATGGCTGGATACGAGCAACAAACACTTGAGAAAATGGGAAAGTTGAGCAAATGTTTTGGTATCTGTTTTTCTTCGGTCTTTTCCAATAAGGAGCCACTCCGTATTCTGAACAAACAGCTCATGTTTGCTCATGGTGCAAGATAAAAAGGGAATTTCTGGTACTGTTTGAGCAAGCTCTTGTGCAAGACGACAACTATTCCAACCACACTTTGCTCCCTATCCCCATCTCTGCCCCTGTCCCACAGCACTGCATTACACAGCCTGTTAGACCTCATCCCCAGAATGTAAAGGAGACAAAGTTTCGCAAGGGGACAGGTTTTGTTCAGACTCGTCTTACAGCACTAAGCCTTCCTGTTTTCCGAGTGATTTTTACAAGCTGGCTTCTTTCAGAAACCTAATTTGGAGGTAAACATGTCAGAAATATCAGCCAAGAATGGGGAGAGGTGGGGAAGAACCACTTTATATGCACGCCCATAAAAGTATGTGTGTATCCTAAAGGACTGGCACGAGTTTCAGTGCTATACAGACACTTACAGTAAGCGTGTAACTTTTGTCACCAGCAAAAGCCCAGTCAAGTTACTGGGAGCTGAATCACGGCCAAGGAAGGGCTCTTCTCATAAATTCTTCTGTCCAAAACTTCAGCAATGGCTGCGCTCTCAGGACCCAGGCAGGGCATCTGCACAGCGGCTGAACCATATCCCTTCTTTCTCCATAGGTTATCGCTCATCGGTGAGACATGATTCAGCGGCTGGCTAGAAATGATAAAACATTGTGCTTCTTTTCTTGCTTAGGAACACAACAACCCTCACGCTTCCAAAAATGTGTTTCAGTGCTCTCAGAGGCTGCTAAGAGAAGCACTGCAGCTCTCCTGACTCGATGACTACCTTTGTCAAACGTGGGCTGTTCTTGCGTGTTGTTTTTGCTTTGCTAATACTGTCTCTCCAAAGCTGAACTCAGACTCCACGAAATTACTAATTCTCCCGGCAAAATATTTTTACGTTGAGACCCTTGACAATTAAACCAGCCATGAACTAGTTAACAATCTGAGCTAACATATCCACAGTGTTGTCCTGCTCCCCAGTGAGCAAAAGCCAGACACTATGTATGTCCAGGATAAACTGCCATCTCCCCTACATACAAGACCAAGGCTCTCATTTGGCGGGCTCCTTCTTTTCAAAACCCAATTGCTTTGTTAATTTTAGTAAAGTACTGAAATTCACATGGACAACATACTTTATCAGATCACAATTTGCTCCAGTTTCTTTCCTTGAGACCACCTTTTTTTCACCTCACAAAAATAAGAAAATCCAATATCCCAATGACTAAACCATACACAGTCTACAAACAGATTCCTGAGGAATACTTGAGAGATTTCACGTTTGACGTGTGTTTATCTTCTGTTTTAAACACCTATGATTATTCTAGATGCATGAGGCTAGAAAGAAAAACAAGTAACTTCCTAAGTGCTTATTTTAATTAGGTGTTATTACAACTCTTCTTGCCAGATACTTTCTCTTTTCATATTCCGAACAAATGAAATTTTCAGAAGAGCTTAAGTGACTTAGGTGACAATGCCTCAGTCATTTTAAGCTCATCATTTCCTGTTCAATGACTAGAGAAGCTTTTCAGTACAGAATTAAGAATGTAAATCCCTTTAGCCAAACTGACAATGACAAAATCCTTTCAGAGAACAATAGAAACTACTTACGTCTTGCCTTCATAAGACACTGGCTAAATAACTTCATTAGACTCATACCAAAATATAGTCCATAAGATTGGGATGAAAAGTTCCCGTAATTATGTTGGGTAAAAGTTTTTGCACAAGGTATTTAAACTCAATACAAAGAGCTGAACAGAAATTCTACATTCACAGGGGGAAAAAAGGTCTCTTTATTTTGGGCTGGGGGGATGCCTGGTAATGCTGTATTGATTTCCAAGTGCAAGCTCAGCATTGTTGCTTAAACTAATATCCCATGAAGAAGTGCAAACAGAAAGTGACGGATAATAATCACAATGTAAAGAAAGAATTAAAAATATACAGCAGCAGAAGTACATTAGGGAATTCTGAAGTGCCACTGAACGGACTGTGCAGGGATTTGGATTTCTCACGCAACACTCTCACGTATTAGGAACCTGTGTGTACCGAACCCCCACGTTGTGCTGGAGCGCACGTGCTCAGCACTTAGGCTGCTGGGAGTGCGCCCTTCCGGTATAAAACCTGATGTGAAACAGAACCAGAGCAGGACGTCTGTCAAGAAGAAAACTGCCGCACAGCAATGGATGGCAAATCTGTCGCTGTTGCTTTGGTTCTCCATCTGGTCTTAATAGCAGGGTCAGAAGGTAAGACAATGATTTCTTAAAACTCACATAACCAATGAATAAATATACATACGCAAACGCAAGTGGGCGTATGCTATGTTAATGTTGACTTTTTCCAAGAGATGTGCATCTTCAATAAATTGTCATTCAGAAATAAAAACTATCATTTGTATTTGCATCTGTTAGGATACTGTGGCCGTTTCTGGGGGTGAAATACGCTTCTGTCAGGAAATTAGTTTATTCCTACGCCATAATACTTGCCTAACCCTAGATTTTAAGAAATTTTTGAATTGAGACAGGACCTTTTTTCTAAACGTCTCCATACATCTCTTTTCCAAATGACAACTTTCTCCTATTTGTATTTTTATTCTTGGTAGGCAGGTTGATGATAGTGCTTTCTCAAAGCAAAAATTATGCAATTTGCAGAAGAGAATAAGGAACGCGAGCAGATGATCATGGCAGAAACTACTAAACAATATGTGGACATAGTTAATGATGTCAACCTACTTTGTTCAAGTGACGCAATTTACGTGTAGAATCTGGCCAGGCACAAATGCACTATGAAAACATCTAAGTATTTTCACTTAGAGATACAGGTTTAACTTTAAATGCATCTGCATACCAGCAGCCCTGAAAATGTAACTGCTGCTGTCGAGCAGATGCAGTTAATTTTATCTCACGGTCTTCAGCAAATCAGAGCGCCTGAGTAACAAGAATAAGGCTGACAGAAGGGAATACTCTTTGCTTCATAGGAGCAAATAATGAGATCATTCATTTACCTGGACATAACTTATTTTTGTTCTACAGGTAAGGCACTGCGAAGACAGAGGAAAAAGGCTTCCAATGCCTGTGCCTAAGCACTCATTCCAAGTTCATCCCTCCCAAGGCTATTCAGAATGTGAGATTACGCTAAAGAGGACCTCGCTGCAAAAATGTGGAAATTGTGTGAGCACTTTTGCAAAATAGCATCCTGCTTTCAATAGGAGGAAGTGGCTTGGCATTTCACAGCCTAGTTACTTACTTACTTTGGGTGGAATTATATATCCCTTGCAAAGCCTCATAGACACTAAGTATAAGGTATTAGGCCTTCTATCCAAAGGAATGAGCTTATTTCCTGCCAATGTTACAAGCCACTTCCAGACAGTATTTTAAAAGCCTCTCTATGCTAATATTTTAATTATGACCAACATCAGAGGAGAGAATTAGATCCCCATAACACATTCAGGGCACGATTAATGATCTAGGCAATGAGGAATCAATCGAAGATACAATCTTGATCCCATTGACATGAATTTAAACAATTTCCACTAACTTGGTCTGCATGTGGCAAAGTTTGAAATGCCGCAAGTTACTCCCTATGTCAGAATTGCTTACTGAGCATTTTCCTGTGCGAGCAGTGTGGAACTTAAATTGTAAAATCCATGCGAGTACAAAGTAAAAAATATGGTAAGCTTCATTTAAAGTCACATCAGGAACTATTCACATGAATTGGGTCAATGCGTTCATGTAAAC